CCCATCAAATGTACATACAAAGGATCCAAAAGTGAAGGAACAAAACAAAAAACCACAAAAACTATACATATTACATAAGCTTCTTTACACAGATTCTAAGCTCATTGGTGATGAGCTCTTACCATGGAGAAAGCTTTCAAATTCCCTCAATGGAGTGACTGTTTCAGGCTACCATTAAGCAGAGACATAAGCCCGCCGCCGTGAACTCTCTCCTCCGGAATCATAAAGTCAAAGATGTTCCTCCCATTGCTGTTGTTTGTTTCGGTTTCCGGTCTCTCGGTGTTTGAGAAGCTTAAGGTTTTCATTGATGGAGGCACAAGAACCTGCATTGGTATCATCAGCTTCTGTCTTTTCTCAGGATGATGATGTAGCTGAGGCGGGCGATCAATGGAGTCTGTGCAATCAGAAACCGCGCTGACTCCAGATTGAGAATGATCAGTGGTGGTAGTAGTATTCGTTGCAGTTGTTGTGGTTGGGGAAGAAGTAGAGACGAGGCCACGGAAAAGTCCCGGTCCAATCAAACCAATCTTGCTTCCAGCTTTGTCTTGAGACATACTGTTATGCGCAGCGCATAAACCGCTTTTTCCTCTAGCGAATTTCTCGCATTTCCAATCTCCTCCCCACGAGCAGCGTTTCCCTCCCCCGTGCGCCTTGCAGAAATCAGTGCTACCTTGCGCACTCTTCTCACACCCAACAGACTTACACCGTTTCCCACCACCGTGCTTCACGCAACAATCAGTCCGTCCACGAGCGCTCTTTGTGCACCCAGCCACAACACACCTCTTCCCACCACCATGAGCAACACAGAAACTAGTCCCACCATGAACGCTTTTAGGACAAATCCCGCCTCCATCAAACATACAGCGCTTTCCTCCACCGTGCGCTTTACACAACGGAGTACTACCTTCCGCTCCCTTAGTACATCCCGCGAATATACAACGCTTTCCGCCTCCATGAGCTTTACAGTAGTTTGTACTCCCTTGAGCTCCTTTTGTACAACCTGAAAACTGACAACGCCTCCCACCACCATGAGAAATACAAAGACCAGCTTGTCCTTCAGCGCTTCGTGTACATCCTTCAATTCTACACCTTTTACCACCACCATGCTTGATGCAGAGCCCGGATTTGCCACGTGCTGCCTTAGCACATCCCTTAGGGAACCCACACCTTCTCCCACCGCCATGAGATATACAGAAATCAGTCTTACCTTCAGCGCTTTTCGTACATCCCAAGTGTTGACATCTCTTTCCACCGCCGTGAGCCTTGCAGAAAGTAGTTTTGCTCTCAGCACCTTTGTTGCAGCCTGCTTTTTGACATCTCTGCCCACCTCCATGGCCAATGCAGAGCCCCGATGCTCCTCTAGCTCCTTTCACACATCCCATGAACTTACACTTCTTCGGGTTACTCGTCCTGTGCTGAGAAGATGTGGCAGATGCCGTCTTGTCAGAGAAAGCGCCTACAGAGAACTCTGACTCATGGCTCATCTGTGAATTATAAGCATCAGTTCCAAAATTAGTACTACATTCTTGCATCCTTGAAGGTTTTCTAGCGTTTTCCGTCCTTGGACCGAAAAGAAGCGATGGCATATAGCCACCTGATCGCTTTGCAGAGGTAGAACCCTCATCAACAACAGCTTGAGATCCATTAGTCTCTGTATATGTCAACAACGAACAATCTAGCTCGCTGAAACTGTCCATGGTCACAGTGGGAGGACCAAGCTGAAGAATTGAATTACCTCCTGATGACAGTTCTTGAACAGTCCCAGAAGAAGCTGAGACTTTTCTGTTGTTATTACTAACCCTGACACTGTAATAATACGAAGGCGGTGTTGGACCCAAACCGAGAACCAACCGGCAACCATCATCAGGACAATTAGAAACATCAGAACAAAGCTTATGGTTATGGTGAGAGCTCCCCATCAACCTCCCTGCACTGCTTCCAAGACATTTCAAGCTAAGAGCAGTATCACCGAAACTGTCATGCTTTGCAAGACCGTTGGCTCGAGAAAAGTGAACGAGGCTCTCGTTTAAATCCATCTGGTGAAGTCAGAAGTATAATGCCCCCCCCAAAACAACAAATACCTAGAGAACAAACTAACACCTTGTAAACTATAAACACAAAAGCAACTTGAGATACAAACATCTCCCACCACTGACAAATCCCCATGTATCTGCCCTGTCCATCTTCAAGAATGAGTAGAGCAACAACTTTTCTGCAGCAGTGAAACAAAACCTGTGTCAGTAGAAAGCTAAGCAAGAAAGAGCAGTAATAACAGTACAATGACATGAGACTAAATAATCAAAGGCAGTTTGTGAAAGTTAAGAGATTCAAAGTAAAAGACCAATAATTGGTTACTACTACTGTGGCTATGAAAAGGACAAAGTACCAACCAGAATGACTTATGGTTGCAACATTGTGGCCATAGGTAAAAGTGAAAACGTTAGTGTACATCTTTCTTTTGCTCAAATTAATTATGAAAAATTAGAGATTTCCC